GGGGGGGCAGAGAGAGAGATGGAGGGAGCAGAGAGGCGAAAGAGAAAAACAGAGAGGGAGGGAGGGAGGGAAAGAGAGAGCAGACGTCGGTGTCACGGGCGCGCTGCAGGACTGGCTGGCATCGCACCTGTCCTGTCTGTGCAGTGACCGGGAGCAGCACGGAGCAGGGCGGGACGGGGCGGCCCCACACGGGACCATTTAGCACTCGGGCCAACTTTGTCTCAAGTGGTCGTGGCCACCGCCAGTGCCAGTCCGATATATCAGTCGCATGGTATAGGTCCACAAAAAACAAAAAAAATAAAGGAAAAGACAGGAAAAAAACGCACGTACTAATACCAACCAAAATATTAATCAATGAACCGTACGATCCTAAACGAAAAAAATTACTCTCACCGACAAAAGAACCTCGAGGGGGTCCCCACTTGCGTAGTACATTGTACATACACCTAAACTAGGTATTACGCGTAGTGTTATGCCGAAAATTAGTAAAATGTGCACTCTCAGACCTGAACTGATTTTTTTTTTTCAGTTAAAACGATAGAATTCTCCTGATAGAAGACTTAAATCAGTATTCCTGCTGCATAAAAACCTACTATATAAGTACTGACAACGACAAAGGGTGGCAAAAATCAGTAACGGGATAAGGGGGTGCTCTAAAATGGTAGAATTTTGGTTCCAAAACCTGTGTAATACCGCGAAATACACGTAATATGTAATACACGTACACGAAAATTCCGAGTAAAACACCAGTAAAACACAAAGTCCACCACGCACCACGCCCCACACTAAGACTCTTTGAATACAAATTGAAATCAGAGCGTCGTGCCATATGGCTGCTTCGTGTCACTCCCAGACGTGTCTAACGAAAAACGAGTGTACGACCGACTGATTCACATTCGAATTACGCAATCCTTTGGCGGTACAAGCCAAATAAATAAATCTGCGCGCTGGGAAAAAAGTAACAATGGAAAAACACGTACAGCGGGACGCCAAGCAGAAAAATATCATTAATGAAAAACGACAAGTTATTTAGAAAATAAAGGAAAGGGAACGTACGTCAATTCTGAAGAAAGCGAAACCAGGAACGACAACCTTGACGACGACGGTCCAGGCCGGCGAACCTGCACCCGCTTCCACCACTGCCGGCGCGGCGCCTGGGATTCGAACCGACGACCTTTAGAGCCGCCAGCGGGTCCGCTGCACGTCAAGCCGGCAGCCACCGCGTTCGGTGAGTACACACTTGAATTTTGCTTTTGCTCTCATAATTATAAGCTCATTGTAAAAGATGTCTTCTAAAAAAAAATCTATTATATTTTTTATTTTGTTTGTTTTAATGCTAATGAAAATAATTGCGCAATAAGGGAAAAACAGTGAAATTCTATCTAGCAAGATGCCCATGATAAAAAAAACTTTAACATTCAGTGAGTTTTAAGATTTTTTCGGCTTTCCTAATCCACACTGTATTTAGAAAGGAATTTGTCACTTTGTCTGTGGCGTCCAAGTTAGCTTACTACTTTGCTCACCCACTCTTCCCCCCATGCAATCAGCTCTCTCTCTCTCTCTCTCTCTCTCTCTCTCTCTCTCTCTGTTTCTCTCTTTAACTCACATACATGTATGCCGAGACAGGGTTACACGTGGCAAGGCCACCACAACTGCAACAACTTGCAGTCGCCGGGCAATGCGCATGTGTACAGAGCACGAGAGAGACGGAGGGAGGAAAAGGGGGGGGGGGGGGAATAGGAAGGGGAAGTACAGTAGCTAGCACTAGTAGCAGAATCAAGCCGTATCGCCAAGGAGCAGAAGCGACGCAAAGAAAAGTCTGTTGCGGAAAGAAATTAAAACGCTCCACTCGCCGGTGGATGCTGCTGAAAAATGTGGGTGGTATAATAAAATATTTTGTTCCTATCCCTTGTTAAAAATTACCGTCAATTCGATCACACTTTTCTCTTGCAGAAGATATGGGTCAGTAATGTACACGATTTTTACAACATTCTAGAAGGTTTGATAACAAGAGTATTACTTCCCACTTCAACCTAAAAAAAACGAGGGAAAAAAGAATGATAATAAAAGTGTTATTAATGCTATCGCTGCTCTCTCCCCTATGCATGCAGGGCCACGTGCGCCAATGCGCCGCACATTACTGTACCCACAAATGTGTAATTCCCCTCTAAGCCTCTTGAATCTGTCGCTATGCGCAGATAGCACTAGCCTGCACCCCGTTCTGACTCGCACCCACGACAATGAGGCTCTATCTGGCGTATGACCACATTTCGTTCAATCAACACACTTGCCTGTCCTGCCACAGCCACCGCGCCGCCACCTTATCCGCGATCCACCTACCCCATCGCGACCCTGACCTTGCGCAGTGTAGGTCGACCTTGGAGAACGTCGACGACATCGACCTCAACCTTCACCCGTCAGATTCGGAGGCCCAGGCGCCCCGGACCCACGAGGCACGATGACGCAGGGCTGCAACGGGTGCAGCCTATCGCTGATAACGGGCACGGCAGGTGCATCGGACGCCAACAAAAAATTATCAATGTGTGGTCAGCAGGCTAGCCGGATAAAATTGACAAAAAAGAAAAGAGGATTGATGATAATATAATTTTTGTATGGTGGCGACGTAGCGTGACACATTGCAAGTTGGTCATAAAATGAGCGGCCGCATCTCGTCAGAGTGGCTGGCAGTTGAAACCGATCAACTCTGTGAAATGACCAGAATAAGGGGGACAGGGGGGGGGGGGGCCTTGCATGCGGGCTGCCATTTGATACGGATGGGCGGAAACGCCTTGTATATTTATATGAATCACGGGTGTTCGAACAAGCGTAAAGATAGTGGCGCTTGCATGTCAGCTTGTTGGACTGCTGGGGGGACATTGCAGCTTTTTAAGTCAAGTGATGATGAAGATTAAAAGGATGGTGTAGTTTAGGAAGGACCGCAAAAGACAAAGACGTGAATAAGTATGTGCTACTTCTGCAATGTATGGACTCTGAGTAGGTTTAGGTAGGGACTAAGAGAATTGGGCTGTTGAGAGTAAAGGAAATGCGTACATTCTTCCCAATTGATCAAAAGCTGTGGGCTCCACTGTGTTGGAGTGAATACGAGCTAGGGATG